CCTCCTCCTCCTCCTCCTCTATTCGTTTTCCTTATGCATAACTCTTCCCTGTCGCCTCCTGGGGGCGGTCGCTGGGAGGTGGTGCACTATCGGGACTAGCTGACGACTGACGAGGAGCTCGCAGACTGTATGCTCGACCTGAGGGTCGGAGATCGTGAGCAGCGGCAGTGCTTGTGCAGTCGGGCTTGATTGGAGAGGACACGCGAGAGGACACAAGACCCTTCCGAGGGATACATTGCCGTAGGAATGAAAAATGTATGCTCTTTAAATATAGGACACACGGCTACCCTTGACTTAGCAGGGTCGACCTACTAATCAAGGTTGGCTGTACCTGAACGTGGCCGCCGCCTACACGCCAAGCACCAGGAACTCCCGACCACGGATGCTGCCATGCAACTCGCGCTCCAGTGGCGGGTGGCAAGTTGGGAGGGCGCTCAGGAAGCGCACGTGTTCTTGGGGGAGCCGCCTTCACTGGTCAACCCCACCGAGAGCGACCTCCGCGTGTTCATCCACGATCTGCACCACGCCCACCACGTCAAGGACTTCAGGAGCTTCGCCGTCTTCCCCCCCCCCAACCCGACCTCGAGCGGACCGTGCTGCTGCGCAAGGGCCACGTGCAGATGATGCTCGCGGACGCGGCTGCCAGCGCGGCCGACCTCATCGCCGAGCTGAGCACGGAGGGCCCCACCACCGAGATCGTGGCGCACGGCTGGGCTGCCTACTTGGACTCGGCGCACGACACCACGCCCTGCACCACGGGGGACGTGGCTAAGCGCTGCCCTCGCTGCCGCGAGGCACAGCTGCAGGAAACAGATCGCAAGGCGGGGCACGCGCCACGCGACCCGCGCTGGCGCCTGCTTGCCAACTGGTCCCTCGCCGCCTGGGAGCCCTACCTGACGGACTCGGTCGCCACTGCCCACGCCGCTGGGCACCTCCGAGGTCGCGTGGTGAGCGGCCGGGAGGCATGGACGGGCACGGCCCGCTGGGCGCAGGCCATGGCCGCCAGGGGCGCAACGATGGGGACGCCCGTCGAGCTGTACGAGGACCCCACCCGCCGCCAGGGGCCGCGGGAGGAGCACGACACCCGCCGCCCAGAGGTCCGCGAGGCGCTCCTCCAGGATGCCCGCAGTCGGCGCTATCTCTACTGGTGGCTGGGTTTTCCCTGCGCCGGCTTCTGCTCCTGGAACACGGTGAACGGAGACACCCGCGCACAGGAGCTGCCCGAGGGCCGACCAGACGGCCCCGACTGGGAGAAGGAGGGCACAGAGCACGCGACGTTCGAGGCGGAGCTCTTCACCACCGCCGCCGACCACGGAGCGCTGCCGACGGCGGAGAACCCAGCGCCCGACGGCCGCTACCCAGCCGCCTTCGAGCTGCGCTGCTGGCGGCGTGTGCCGGCGTGGCCAGGCGTCCTCATCGTGCCGCTGGACATGCGTCCCCACGGCCTGGGCCCTCCGCCGGATGCACCGCCAGGGGCCGAGGCGAGCGCGGAAGACACAGCGCCCGCGCCCAGCTACCGCAAGCGGACCTGGCTGGTCACCTGCGTGTCGGAGCTGACCCAGGTGGCCGCTCAATGCCCATTGACGGACGTCCATTCCCTGTGTTTTTCCCTGTGTTTTTTTAGGTTCGTGCGTGGTTTTTTCGCCACATGATAGAAGGAGGCTCCTCGATGGTCCTCGCCGAAGGAAAAATGCACACGTCCGAGCGATGCCAAGCAATGCCCAGGACGGAGCGCCATCCACCAGCACGCCGTCCTGGAAGGGCGCCCGCGGGGCAGCAGCGCGGGCAGCTGCCGCGCGCCTGGCGCGGACGCCGCCGCCCTGGTCAAGGTCGTGACCGACACCATGGTCAGGGCAGCGCTGGCGCGCTGGCTTGTCCTCCTCCCCCTCCCCCTCCCCCTCCTCCTCCCTCTCATCCCTCCTCCTCCTCCTCCTCCTCCTCCTCCTCCTCCCACGGCGCGAGCCTGTGGTAGCCAGGGGCGGCAACCGTCCGGGGGAGGGCGTCCGCCCCATGTTCCGCGGGAGCGCCCCTGCCTCCAACGGCACGCGGGCCAGCACCGGGGGGGGGGGGGGGGGGCAGCGGGAGGCACCCCGAGGGAGGGCGCCCCCCCGCCGACTTCAAAAAATCAAAGGGCGGGAAGGGCGTTTCGCCCGAGACTTCCTCATCACGTATGAGCCTGAAGCAAAAAACCGGCAACAGCTTCACGGATGGAGGGCGGTTGGTTTTCAAAATCTGGCTCTCGCCTGAGCGCCGCGCACATTCGTCGTAAACTTGGCAAGAGCTTCACGGATGGAGAGCGGGTCGTTTTCAAAGTGTGGCCCTCGCCTCAGCGCCGCGCACGGTCGTCTTCAACAATTGCAAGGGCTTCGCGGATGGAGGGCGGACCGTCTTCAAAATGTGCTTCGCGAACGCGCGCCGCGCACACTCGTGTTAAACAATGCGAGAGTTTTGCGGATTGAGGGCGGGTGGTTTTCAAAATGTGGCTCTCGCCTTAGCGCCGCGCACTTTCGTTTTCTTTGTTGTTCTGTGTAAGTTTTGCACGAGCTTCACGGATTGAGGGCGGCTCGTCTTTTAAATGTGGCTCTCGCTTTCGCGCCGCGCACATTCTTTCTCAAAACTCGCAAGACCAACGTGTGGCTCTCGACTTAGCGCCGCGCACATGTAGTTAAACACTTTGTAAGAGTATCACTGGTACTCATGGTTAACTTGCCAGAACCGGTGCTTGGAGCGATTCAGGATTCTCAAGGCGCAACAGTTACGTTGATTCGCGGGCGGTGTTGAGGTCCCAGACATGGTGTTCTGGAACGATTCAGGGCCGCCAACCTGTAATAGTTAGGCCAACTCGTGGTGTATTGACGTCCTGGGAATGGTATTTTGGCAGGCTTCAGGATTTTCACACGTTTGTCCCCAAACAGGGCAATTCCCTCAATGGAAGCGAACTCTGGTAGGGCCCCATAAAGCGGGAGCTTGGAGGGAGGGTAGATTCCAACATCTTTGATGAGCCTTGGACTTACACTGGTCCTCCTCCTCCTCCTCCTCTTCGTCCTCCTCCCTCATCTCGCTGATCCTTCGATTTCGACGTCTTCTCTTGCCCCCCCCCGCCGCATTGGGGCTGCGCCTAACATGGCGTCGAGAAGTCGGGGCGGGAGAGGTGCAGCGGGGATGAAGGGGATACAGGGGAGGATGCAGGGGAGTACAGGAGGAAGAGGAGGAGGAGGAAGAGGAGGAACAAGAGGAGGAGGAGGAGGAATGAGGGAAGCGTGGGGGAGAGGATCCGGGGAGGGGGAGAGGTGGTGCGGAAGAGGGGTGGGGGACAGGAGGTGCAGGGGAATATGACACGGACGGGGTGGAGAAGATGGGGCGGGGGGGGGATCGGAGCGGTCCCGAAGCGACCCAAACGGCTACGGGACGACCTCATCAAGAGTGCTTGGGTCCCTTGCAGGAGAAAGAAGCTGCCGGCAGCGGGCAGAAACAGGGAACCAGGCAATGCCACTGGGGGATCGCCGCTAAGGGGGTCGGCACCTCCTCCAGGAAACGTACCCCCCCGCCCCCTGGAGCACCACAAGACTCCCAGAGGCGCCCAAAACGTCCCACACCTCCTCGACCCGCGTTCTCCCCTTCTCCCTTTCCTCCTCCTCCTTCTCCTCCTCCTCCTCCTCCTCCCTCCCTCCCTCCCTCCCTCCCTCCCTCCTCCTCCTCCTCCTCCTCCTCCTCCTCCTCCTCCTCCTCCTCTTCCTCGATCCTCGGTTTCCAGGAGGAGGTCGGTGGTGACCCCCCTCTCCAAAGGTGACCCCCCCCCTGAGAAAAAACACTTACCGTGTTGGGAGGACTGGGTTGGGAAGATACAATGCACGACTGTGCAATAAGCACCTTCAACATTCGCGGTGATATGGATGATCTGGTCATTGCTCCCGACCCCATCCTTCCAACCCGACAAGCTGTATCCATGTCGACCACTATGAGTAATATGACAGATGGTGTAATTCGGATCATCTGGTCACTTCTCCCACTCTCCCATGTCGGGCAGTACCCGTCACCAATCCCCATCCTCCCAACCCCATCTTCTCAACCCGACGACGGTCTTTCTGACCTCGGCGGTGGACAAACCTCCCTTTCGTAAACCTCCCCTTCGTGAAAACGGCCTAAGACCGAAACCGACGGACCTGGACCCGCAAAAATAACGGCCGTGAGGCCCTCTCGCAAATCGAACACGGCCAATTCCTGAATCGACGCGTCAGGGTAGGAGGTCCATCGACCTCCGATGACCCTCTGGCCCTGCCCGACGAGGGCGAGAGGGAGCATGGCCGCCCAGCCGCCCGCCCGCGTCCAAAGATGCGGCGCCCGCGGCCTGGTAGGGCGCCGAGAAGTCGGGCGGGAAGTCCGGGTGCCGCCACCAGAGGGCCACCACGCGCCCTTGGGGGGGAGGAGCCCCAGACGTGGCCGCGTCGTGGAGGGCCCACGGCGGCAAATTTTGGGCCGTCTCGGCCTCGGGGGGCCCTCGCTGGGCCCCGTGACTGTCAATCAACGGCTCTTGATGGAAAGCCAGCCCTGGGGAAAGGGTCTGAACTTCCAGGCCCCCCGTCTTGAAAGAACAAAGCGTCGGATGTCTGTGGGGGGGACGAGGAGGGTAAGGGGCTAGGAGGACGAGGTGGGAGGACAGTGGAGGAAAGGGGGGGGGATAATGACGATGATGATGCTGATGGTACCAATCATGTCCCTTGATGCAGATCAAGCAAATAGGATGTGTGTTACCAATTCCGAAAGGGCAAATCATACGAATAACGTTGAGAAACAACGGGTCAGCAGTGCGTAACCAGGCGGATCTGAGGACGTACCAAGAGAGAGAAAAAGAGAGAGAGAGGATTAGGCGGGACAGGGCGAGAAGGATTGAGGGGGGAGGGGGGGAAGGGAGTGAGGGAGGAGGGCGAGAAGGATACGAGGGATGACGAAACAACACTACACTATTACACACTACTGTGATAAGAAGACGAATGCTAATACTACTATTACTACGACAACTACTACTAGTATTACTGTTAGTGCTGCTAGTAGTACTACTACTGCTACTGCTACTCCTGCTCCGACTACTGCGGCTGCTGCTACTACTACTACTACTACTTCTACTACTACTACTACTACTACTACTACTACTACTGACTACTGCTACGACTACTACTACGACTACGACTACTACTACTACTGCTACTACTACTACTACTACTACTACTACTACTACTACTACTACTACTACAAGAACTACTACTATTACTACCGCTACTACTACGACTACTACGGCTAGTACGTATACTACAACTACAACTACTACTAATATTATTACTGTGCCACTAATGTACTGCTACTACTACTACTACTACTACAACTACTACTACGGCGACTATTATTACTACGGCTACAGCTAAGACTTCGACATTGCCTTTGGCTACGACTGCGGCTGCGACTACGACTGCTACTAAGACTTCTGCTATCAGTGCCACTACTACTGCTACTACTACTACTACTACTACTGCTGCTGCTGCTGCTACTACTACTACTACTACTACTACTGCGACGACGACTACTACTACTACTACGACTACTACTACTACTACTGCTACTGCTACTGCTACCACCACTACTACTACCACTACCACTACTACTACTACTACTACTACTACTACTACTACTACTACTACTACTACTGCTACTGCTACTACTACTACTACTGCTGCTGCTGCTGCTACTACGACGGCGACTCCTCCTCCTATTACTACTACTACTACTGCTGCTACTACTACTACTACTAGTACGACTGCGATTACGACTAGGGCTACAACTAAGACTACGGCTAAGTTTTGGACTTTGACTGGGACTACGACTACGACTCCGACTACGACTACTACTACTGCTGCTACTACACATGTCACTACCAACGGTACTGCTACAAGTACTACTATTACTACGACGGCGGCTACTCCTACTACTACCTTGCTGCCACCTACCACCTACTACGCCTACTAGTACTACAGGTACTGCCACTACTACCACGACTACTTCTGCCATAACCTTACAACTACAATCACGACTACTACTACTACTACGACTACTGCTACTTCTTATGCCACTACAGCTGCTACTTCATCTTCTTCTGCGCCTACAGCTACTAGTACTACGACTGCTACTACTGGGACAACGACGACTACTACTACTACTACGACTACCACCACTACTTTTACTATTATTACGACTACGACTGCTACTGTTCCTCGGACTACAACTACTATTACTGCTACTCGTGCCAATACTCTACTACTACGACTACGACTACGACTAGGACTACTAGTAGTAGTAGTAGTAGTAGTAGTGGTAGTACTACTACTACTACTACTACGGCTACTACTGCATTGCTACTTCTACTGCTACTGATACTACTAATACTACGACTACTATTACTACGGCCGCCACTACTACTACTACCACTGCTACTACGTCTACTGCTACTCCTACTCCTACTCCTGCTCCTACTCCTGCTCATCCTCCTACTCCTACTACTACGATTTTCTACTGCTGCTGCTACTACTGACACTACTACTACTGCTACTACAACTTCTACTACTACTACTACTACTACTACTACTACTACTACTACTACTACTACTACTACTACTACTACTACTACTACTACTACTACTACTACTACTACTACTACTACTACTACTACTACTACTACTACTACTACTACTACTACTACTACTACTACTACTACTACTACTACTACTACTACTACTACTACTACTACTACTACTACTACTACTACTACTACTACTACTACTACTACTACTACTACTACTACTACTACTACTACTACTACTACTACTACTACTACTACTACTACTACTACCACTACTACTACTAGTTCGACGGCGACGACGACGACGGCGACTACGACTATTACTACAGCCGCTACTACTACTACTACTACTGCTGCTGCTGCTGCTACTACTACTACTGCTACTACTACTACTACTCCTACAGCTACTACTGCTGCTGCTACTACTACCACTACTACTACTACTACTACTACTACTACTACTACTACTACTACTACTACTACGACGACGACGACGACGACGACGACGACGACGACGACGACGACGACGACGACGACGACGACGACTACTACTACTACTACGACGACTACTACTACTACTGCTACTACGACTACTACTACTGCTACTATTCCTACTACTGCTGCTACTACTATTACTACTAACACCAACAACAGTACGACTACTAATGGTACGAATAATCACACACAATAATCATAACTATTATTCCGACGGTCGGACCCCACATGATAATATGTTTAGCTTGCCTGGGGATATCCTCATGCACCCATCTCCTACTTCCTCCTGCCTCCTCCGTCTCCTCCTGCCTGCTGCTCCTCCTGCCTCAACCCCTGCCTCCTCCTCCTCTTGTATCCTCCTCTTCTTCTTCCTCCTCCTCCTCTTCATGCCTCCTCCTCCTCCTCCTCTTAATGCCTCCTTCTCCTCCCATTCCCCTTGTTGTTCCTGCCTCCTGCCTCCTCCTCCTCCTGCTTTCCCTCTCTCTCTTCATCCTCCTCCTCCTCCTCCTTCTCCGCCTCCACCTCCTCCGCCTCCTCTCTATCTCCCTCCTCCGCCTCTTCCTCGTCTCCATCATCCTCCCCCTCCTCCTCCCCCTCTTCCTCCTCCTCCTGCCTCCTCCTCCTCCTTCTGCCTCCTCCTTACGCCTCCTGCCTCCTCCTGGGGCCCCCTGGAACCTCCCGGGGCCTCCTGGAGCCTTCTGGACCTCCCGGGATCTCCTGGGGCCTCCTAGGGCACTCCACCTCCTCCTCCTTCTCCTTCTTGTCCTGCCCCCCCTCTGCCTCCTCCTCTTCTTCATTCTTTGTATCGTCCTTCTCCCTCCTTCCTCCTCCTCCTCCTCCTCCTCCTCATGCGGAACACGACCCAGACGAAAAGCGCGACGTGCGTCCCAGCGGATACGCGCCAGAAGACGCCCCAGAGGAAACGCGCGCCCGAGGACGACACGGAGGACTGGCTCCCGCCTGAGACTTCCTCGCGTTGCACTGACAGACGAGGCTCCCGCCGGATACTTCCTCCATTTTCAAGCCTCAGGGGCCACATCGTGACGACAGTTGCAGGATCCCGATGATCCGCCGCGGATTCCTCAGATGTGCTGCAGGGAGGGGGCTCCCGCCTGAGACTTCCTCGCGTTTCAATCACAGACGAGGCTCTCGCCTGATACTTCCTCCATTTTCAAGCCTCAGGGGCCACATCGTGACGACAGTTGCAGGATCCCGATGACCCGCCGCGGATTACTCATATGAGCTGCGGGCCCCATAGGGAGGGGGGTCCCGCTTGAGACTTCCTCGCATGTCACTGACAGACGAGGCTCCCGCCGGATACTTCCTCCATTGTCAAGCCTGAGGAACCCAAAAGTTACGATAGTTGCAGGAGGCCGATGACCCGCCGCGTATGACTCATTTGAGCTGCGGGCCCCATAGGGAGGGGGCTCCCGCCTGAGATTTCCTCGCATGTCACTCACAAGCGAGGCTCCCGCCGGACACTTCCTCCATTTTCAAGCCTCAGGGGCCACTTCGTGACGACAGTGGCAGGATCCCGATGACCCGCCGCGGATTACTCATATGAGCTGCGGGCCCCATAGGGAGGGGGCTCCCGCCTGAGACTTCCTCGCATGTCACTGACAGACGAGGCTCCCGCCGGATACTTCCTCCAGTGTCAAGCCTGAGGAACCCAACAGTTATGATAGTTGCAGGAGGCCGATGACCCGCCGCGTATGACTCATTTGAGCTGCGTACCCCATAGGGAGGGGGCTCCCGCCTGAGATTTCCTCGCATGTCACTCACAAGCGAGGCTCCCGCCAGATATTCAAGCCTCAGGGGCCACATCGTGACGACAGTTGCAGGATCCCGATGATCCGCCGCGGATTGCTCAGATGTGCTGCGGGCCCCATATGGAGGGGGCTCCCGCCTGAGACTTCCTCGCATTGCACTCACAGACGAAGCTCTCGCCTGCTACTTCCTCCATTGTCAAGCCTGAGGAACCCAAAAGTTACGATAGTTGCAGGAGGCCGATGACCCGCTGCGTATTATTCATTTGAGCTGCGTACCCCATAGGGAGGGGGCTCCCGCCTGAGATTTCCTCGCGTTGCACTCACAGACGAGGCCCCCGCCTGATACTTCCTCCATTTTCAAGCCTCAGGTGCCAAATCGTGACGACAGTTGCAGGATCCCGATGACCCGCCGCGGATTACTCATATGAGCTGCGGGCCCTGTAGGGAGGGGGCTCCCGCCTGAGACTTCCTCGCATGTCACTGACAGACGAGGCTCCCGCCGGACACTTCCTCCATTCTCAAGCCTGAGGAACCCAACAGTTACGATAGTTGCAGGAGGCCGACGACCCGCTCAGATAACTCATATGAGCTGCGGGCCCCGTAGGGATGGGGCTCCCGCCTGAGATTTCCTTGCAATTCGCTCACAGACGAGGCTCCCGCCTGATACTTCCTCAAACCTGGGTGTGAGGGAAGGAGTGCGTGAGTGAGTGAATGCGTGAGGATGGTGATGATGCTGATGATGATGAGTGTGTGAATCAGTAAATGGGCGGGTAGGTGGTTGAGTGAGTGGGTGAGTGCGTGATTGAGCGATGACGATGATTGTGTGAGTGAGTGTGTGAGTGGGTGAGTGAGTGGGTGAGTGAGCGAGTGTGAGTGACGATGTGTGTGTGTGAGTGATTGAGTGTGTGTGTGTGTGTGTGTGCGAAGGGTGCGGGTGTTCCTGTGTGTTCCTGCGCGGGGTGTCCAGAGAAAACATGAACCCCATTTTGGATGTGGGGAATAATAATCATCATAATAAGAACACAAATCACAATCCGCAGACCCCTTGGGGTTCATCGGTGTGTGAAATGCTTCCCCCTCCCCCAACCCCTCCCCTCCTGGGAACCGG